CGCCTATCGTGAGGTGCCCCAGAGCAGTACAGGTTTCTCACCTTTTGAACTTATATATGGTGCTAACCCCAGAGGTCCACTGTCGCTGTTAAAGGACACGTGGATCGGTAAAGGCGATCAAGAAGCGCCTCAAACATATATTAAATTCGTGACGGAGTTACGTAACAAGATAATGACAGGTTGTCAAGTTGCACGGGACAACTTGGAAAATGCTGGTACTCATCAAAGAGAATACGTTAACCGTAACCGGAGACTGATCACTCTCCAGCCTAATGATGATGTATTGATATTTCTGCAAGATAATAATAATTGTTTATTAGCCAAATGGCAGGGTCCTTTTAAAGTTATTAAGAAAATTTCAGATGTGGACTATCTTATTGATGTCAGAGGACATCCTAAAGTATATAATCTAAACATGCTTAAAGAGTTTAAGTCTCGCATTGGTGTTTTGTCTGAAGTGTTAGAAGCAGCTGAGGCACCCGACAATAATTTGCAAGAAGAAGAAATGGAGGCAGCATTCTGCCACGTCATTGCGAAGAGAGCAATGATGTCGAGGTGGACACTGCTCATCAATTGTCCCTACCCGAACTGGTACCCAGAGAAACATGGAGAGACGTGGAAGTCGCGCCCTCGGTTCCACCAGATATGGTGCGTCGTATAAAGCGTATTTTGGCTACATTCGACAAAACATTATCGGACATGCCGGGTAGAACGACAGAAGCAGTGCATTCCATTGAATTATTAGATCATAAACCCATCAAAATGAAACCATATGTTATACCTTTTCATCATCGGGATGCCGTGGATAAGGAAATCGATAACATGATTTAGTGGGGTATAAATGAACCGTCGACATCACCCTATGCTTTTCCAATAGTGGTTGTCCGAAAGAAAGATGGAAGCCTTCGGATCTGCATAGATTTCCGAAAATTGAATCGAATCACGGTTGTAGATGCTGAAAATATCCCAAATATGGAAGATATGTTTGTTGCATTGTCGAAGGCTAGGTATTTTACAAAGTTAGATCTTACCAAGGGTTATTGGCAGATTCCCTTAGCCGAGGATTCCAAAAAATACACCGCGTTTCAGACGAACAAAGGTTTGTTTAACTTCAACTATATGGTTTTCGGGCTTTCGGGAGCGCCTGCTACGTTCACCCGCCTCGTACGCAAGTTGTTACAGGGTCGTAATGATGTTATTAATTATCTGGATGACATTCTGCTTTTCCATAATGATTTAGACGAACATATTCGAGGTCTAAAGACATTACTGGAACGCATAAGGTCGTTTAATCTGACAGTTAGACCAACTAAAGTGAAGGTCGCTTTCGAGGAGGTCACGTTCCTCGGTCACGTTGTAGGACACGGGGTCCGTAAACCCGAAGCCACCACAGTGGGTAAGATTCTCAAAATCCCTATACCAAAAACGAAGAAACAAGTGCGTGCGTTATTGGGTTTATGTAACTTTTATGCCAAATTCATTCCTTACTATTCCACCATTACAGCCGTGTTGTCCTCATTGACGATGAAAGGAATGCCAGCGAAGGTGATCTGGACGAGAGAGTGCGAGGACGCGCTTCAGAGATTACAAAAGGCATTTAATAGTAATCCGTTCTTGTGTTTGCCAGATTTGTCTCTGCCGTTTTATGTATCCACAGATGCGTCCGATGTGGCGATTGGTGGGACGTTGATGCAATCCAGAGAGGGCACCCTACTCCCTGTTGTTTATGCCAGCAGGAAGCTGTCTCCTACTGAATGCCGTTACAGCGTGGGCGAGAGGGAGGCACTAGCCATTTTTTGGGCAGTAGGGAAGTTTACCCAATTCCTGTATGGCAGTCACTTCTTTATCTTGACAGACCATCGTCCACTCGAAGTCTTGAACTCAGCACCCACCAAGAACTCACGCATATTAAGATGGACAATGTTTCTACAGACGTTCAACTTCACAGTTATTTATCGTCCAGGAAAAGAAAATGTCTTGGCCGATTTTTTGTCGCGCACCCCAGATGCATTGGAATAGGATTGATGTTTGTTGTTGAATTTACATGATATTTAAAATTCATGCTGTTATGCAAAATAATTTGGATAACAATAATGATGTTGATAATAATGCTTAGTGAAGTCAGGAATCTATATTTTGCATTCACCTTAGTAATGTATTATGTTATATTGAAACGTGAGTGTCTGTGTATTCAAGTGTTCTTATTTGCTCTCTCGTATTGGTGCTGTTTGCCGCGACATGACTCCAATTTTCCGACCGAGACTACGACAAGTCCTAGTACTCGGTCGTCCTCGGGGAAGGGGGGAAAAGCTGTCGCGTGCGAATGTGCACTAGAACGCACCGGTACTAAGTGAGCAAATAAGACGTCAAAACAATACGTAACACTGTGAAGGTATTGTTGTCAAAGGCAGTCGATGTTTATAGTCCGAAGGAGACGGACGTGTGGATCCTTGAGGACGCTCTACCCCGGGATCCCACGGAAGCAAACGTTATATAAAGTTGGATCCTTGAGGACGCTTTATCCCGGGACTCCAGGATAGACCTCAGCAGGAAGCTGGTGAATGTTACATTTCGGCAGTAAGCCAGTATACCTTCATTATTTAATTCAGACGGCTGAACTGAATACAAAGATGATTGTCTGGATCTCAAGGTCGGACTGCGATCTATCGTGAGGACATATCAGTCCATGGATGTACGAGCGAGCTTTTGTTGATGTGCTTGATTATTAATTGCATATTTTATCCTTGTGTTGATAATTGCTATTTGTCAATACACAAATGGAACTTTTAAAGAGAGTTCTCGTTCCGCTACGTTTGGGAAGCTTCAGCATTCATCATGTTATGTTACTCTTTGCCAGTGGCATGTTAAGTGTTGATGCCATTTGTTACATTGCGACACCCCTAGTCACCGTGTGTACGCCAAGCCTACGCACGTCACAATGGGGAGAAATGGAGAGTGGACACATCATGGGGAGAAATTGAGAGTGGACACATCATGGGGAGAAATGGAGAGTGGGGACATCATGAGGAGAAATGGAGAGTGGGCATATCATGGGGAGAAATAGAGAGTTGTCACATCATGGGGAGAAATGGAGAGTTGACACATCATGGGGAGAAATGGACAGTGGGCACATCATGGGGAGAAATGGACAGTGGGCACATCATGGGGAGAAATGGAGAGTGGGCACATCATGGGGAGAAATGGAGAGTGGACACATCATGGGGAGAAATGGAGAGTGGACACATCATGGGGAGAAATGGAGAGTTGGCACATCATGAGGAGAAATGGAGAGTGGGCACATCATGGGGAGAAAGGGAGAGTGGGCACATCATGGGGAGAAATGGAGAGTGGGCACATCATGGGGAGAAATGGAGAGTGGGCACATCATGGGGAGAAAGGGAGAGTGGGCACATCATGGGGAGAAATGGAGAGTGGACACATCATGAGGAGAAAGGGAGAGTGGGCACATCATGGGGAGAAATGGAGAGTGGGCACATCATGGGGAGAAATGGAGAGTGGGCACATCATGGGGAGAAATGGAGAGTGGGCACATCATGGGGAGAAATGGAGAGTGGACACATCATGAGGAGAAAGGGAGAGTGGGCACATCATGGGGAGAAATGGAGAGTGGGCACATCATGGGGAGAAATGGAGAGTGGGCACATCATGGGGAGAAATGGAGGGAGAATCACCAGACACTTAAAAGATTTAAACAAAATTAAAAAAAAGTAAAGGACCCTTTCCATGCCGTTAGGCATATAGGGCTTGACCTATATTTTTATAGACCAATCGGCACAAGATGGGTGATGTGGTCAGTATCACCCCGGCTGCCTTTACTTCCCAGGACTGCACCCGGTACCCACTCAAGGCTGGGTCGAACTGGGAGCCAAGGTCCTTTTTTAAAAGTCCTGCTTCTCCAGGGAGCGGACCTTCCAATCGGCGGCGAGCATCTAACCGCTCGCTGTGCATCTAGAGGATGCTAATTACTCTGGGACCTCTAAAGGAAATGGTGCAGTGAAGAGTGATAATAGGATCTGGCCAATGCTCAAAACTCAGGGAGAAGGCAAGACCTATATACAGTCAGACTGTTGCTGTACCATTGGAATTGTAACTCCAAGCTGGTTGCTGAAGATGGGGATGGAGCACTTATGGAAATGTCCCTGACTTCATTTCTAAACAGCTAAACTTAACCCTCTTAGTTGGTGAATTAATGACAGAAGATGGTATATGTGCAGCATATAAATTATGAAATGAAAAATTACAGTTACAAAGCATCATTGAATGGATGCAGTGAGCTGCCAAGATTCCCCACTAAAAAGGGAAACAAAGGAAATCAAGAACTCAAAGACGATGGTGCTGAGAGAGGTCAACGGCTCTGGACTGGATTTAAATAATATCAAGAGCATTAGTTAGTTAGTCAATCAACAGATTATCCTCACTGCACATCTGACAAATCCATAAGTGCTCAAATCCCATCTTCAGTATACCCCTCAGCTAGTGGTGACTGACAACACCAGTTTTGGGTTGGTTCATGTTTGGTGACACCTCTTTTGACCCGAAGTTCTTGTAGTCTTTTGAGCGTTGTCGATTCAACGCCGTCTCCTGAATCATTTTCTCATCCTGTCTCTCTGAGAGCAGTGAGAATGCCGGTCGCATCTATTGCTTTAACTTGTACCTACCGTGGTCATGCCAGCAAGCTAATCTGCTCATTCATTCCCTCTTACCCCAAAGTGTTCTGGCATAAAAATAAAACTAATTTCTTTCAGATAAGATTTCTTCAGCAACTCCAACCATTTTCTTTGACAGAATTGCACAAGATACAATGGAATAGTGAACTTCCCCTTAACATCATGCATAAAGAGTGGCTATATTGCTGAAACTGGACGTGCTGGGCCAAGATATCACAGCCTAATTGTAAACCACAATTAACTCTTGAATGCAGAAGAAGAAGAAGAAGCAGCAGCAGAAGAAACAAGCAATTAAAATCACACATCACTCACCTTTGTAGACCACTTCGCAGTCATAGTATGGGCCGTACTTCATGGTGACATTGTAACGAGCAATGTAAAGTCCTCCATCTCGTCGGGCTAGAAGTCAGGAAACAAGTTTTAGAATGAAATACTGGCACTAGTCTCTAAAGCAGAACCTTATATCTACCTCCAAAACTAAAACGGGAAAAAGGGAAATAAAGTAAAGGACCCTCTTCCCCACCTTCAGGTATATTGGGCATATAGGGCTAGACCTATATTTTATAGACTAATGATGAACAAAAAATCAGCCAACGCTAAAAAGAGAGGTCAAGCCAAAGATGATCAACTGGATTCCATCTATGACATCAGAGATGATTCCACCGGAATGGATGAACAGACTGCAAGCACTATGTGACATATAACGGCACATCATCATCCTATAACACTAGGTGTCGTTGGGTCACCAGTTTCTGTTGACTGTCTGATCAGCTCTCTCCACCATTAACGGTCAGTTGCGATGGACTTCCTGGTTGCATGCCTGAGGCCTGTCCACTCAGCCAGCTTTTGTAACTAGGTCTTTCTTGGTCTGCCTCTTCTCCTCTTTCTCTCTAGTGAGCCCTGCAGTTTTGTTTTTGAGAGGCCGTTAGATCTTATTAAATGTCCACACCATTGCATTTTTTCACCTTTTTACTGTCGTTAAAAGAGGTTCAAAGTTGCCAATGTACTGTATAAATTTATGGTGAACCTCTTCATTTTTAATGTGGTCTATGTATGATATACCAAGAATTTTTCACAAACATATTTTTCTAATGCTTGTATCTTTTTTTCAAGTTTAGTTGTTAAGGTCCCCGTTTCACAGCCATACGTACATGTACTAATAGCTAGTGCTCTGAGCAATCAAATCTGACTTTTGCATGAAATATTTTTTGGATCTCCATAAAGTTTGCTGCTTGGCAAGGACTGATGTCTGGGCAATCCTAGACATGATTTCTGTTCTTGACCCCAAGTCGCTTAAAATGGATCCTAAATATTTGAAATGAGTCACTTGTTCTAATTTGACTGGTGAAATTCTGCCAGCTGGATTATTAGGCATTACTTTTGTTTTTTCTGTGTTTATTTCCCTGCCATACTTGGTTGTTTCATCGAGGCAGATTTACAAGCTCAACTAGTTCTTGTTCTTCTCCGGCCAACCCATCAATGTTATCTGCAAACCTTAGGTTTGTTATATTTTGACCTCCGATACTAACTGTTCCGTGATGTTGTTCTAGGGCAACAGTCATAACTCTTTCTAAAAAGATGTTAAACAGTGTTGGAGAGAGGAGGCAGCCCTGCACATCGCAACACCGACGATAAAGATCCTGTGCCCAAGACAGGCAGACGTGTAACAAGATGTCATTATCAATCAGGTGCCATCTCACAATGAAGGTTGGCTGCAATGGATCTCCAACACGATCTATCTCTTGTCTTGATTGTACAATCTCTCAAACTGCTGTTTGTCATCTCTCAGCTGTGTCAACCCACTTGTATCGTCTACTTCTTGCTCTCTTGCCCTCGCCATTTCCCTCCAGTATGGACTTTAAAAGAGTGTTATGTCTTTCAATGTTGCCAAAGTATTACAACTGTCTCTTTTATTTCTTTGAGTAATTCTCTTTTGATTTGTAGACTTTCCAGAACCTCTGTATTTTACTGTTTTTTGTTTCCATGAAATACAACCTGCAAGATGTAAACAAGTGCTTTACTACTTCATATGTAAGGCATACAATGTGTGAAAGCCTTATGCAGGATACCCCAAAGATGACAGTGTTCCACTGTGTTCTAGGGAGGCATGAGTATCACAGCCCATGGCAATGTAGATACGATTAGCAGGACCCACTTGCGTTATGTAAGGTCTTCCACAAGTTCAGCATGGGGGGTTTCATGATTATTTCAAAATTATCACAACCCACCCACACCGGGCTACATGTTACTTCATAACCGTTTTGTTGTGTCCCAATATAACTGTTTTTGAAAAAAGGATCCTTTCCTGCCTTCAGGCGTGTTTGGCATATAGGGCTAGACCTATATTTTATAGACCAATCGGCACTTGGTGGTCGGCATCACTTCGGCCACTTTTACTTCCCATGACTCCACCTGGTATCCATTCAAGGCTGGGTGGACCTGGGAGCCAAGGCCAATATGTGGCTATACGGTTGAACAGGTTTTGTAGCTGATCGATTCTCATCCTCTCTGTGAGTGCTCTAGGGGCCCATTGTAAGGAAAAAACAAAAATAGGCCTACTGCCTGCCCATCAAGCATGTGGTAGGAGTCGAATAATTAGGGCAGTGGTTGACAAACTCATCAGTCACAAGAGCCACATCTCAGCAGCAGGGCAATTAAAAATTATTTGAGAGCCAAATTTCTTTCCAGAGTCAAAATCGATCTGTGGCCAAGCCGCATTCAGGTTGCTAAAGAGCCGCATGTGGCTCGCCAGCCATGATTTGCTGACCACTGAATTAGGGGCTCCCTTCAAAGTTGGGGTACATCTACCTGAAAGGGAGGAACCAATAATCTGCATACAAACAAGCCAGGTGTGTGGAATGGATGTGCACACAACACTCAAGTTCTGGAACAAGACGAATTCGGAGATGGATGATAAAGCCCAGAGATGAATGATAAAGATAAAGTCCAAAGATGAATGATAAAGTCCAGAGATGGATAATAAAGTCCAGAGATGGATGATGAAGCACTAGAGATGAATGAGAAAGTCTGGAGATGGAGAAGAAGGATGCTATTGTGGCTAATGTTTAAGGAGAGCTTAAACCCCTAAATTGAATTTGATTGTATCTGCTGGAAACAATGCTTTTTATAAGTACATACTAGTTAAAGATTGAAGGAAAATTAATTTTGATGGCTAAAATCAACACATTTTTAGAAAAGTTCATTAAAAATTTCATTTTTTTATGTGGAAAATAGCCAAATTTGAACTCGCCATTTACCAAGATATTTTTTTTTTAAAAACGAATAAAGATCGCTTAGTAAAACTTTGCAATAAAATGTGAGTTTTTCAATCAATTTCAATGCAAATATGTGGATTTTAGACACCAAAATAATTGTCCTTTAATCTTTAAATATAAAGCATTGTTTCCAGCAGATATAATCAAATTCAATTTAGGCGTTTAATCTGTTCTTAATGCAGGACGATATTGCAAACCTCAAATCTAACGTTATCCGAGTTACCCCATAAATTATGCCAGGTGCTATGCAGTGGCTACAAATTCACCTGCCAATCTGAAGGTCTTTGGATGGATGTGGCCAAAATTTTACTTTGACTCAGGTTGACCAAAACTAAAATGGGTCACAGGAAATGTCCTGGGAAGTAAAAGCAAGCAGTGTAATGATGACCACATCACCCATTGCGTAGTGTAACTTCCCCTTAGGCACTGGACTTCGACCCTTTTCAGGGGACACCACCTGGAGTATATGCACCCCCCCCCCCCCCTCATCATCATCAGCATCAGTTCTCGTTATGCCTAGTGGCACATGAGGCTTCAGAGAGGACTTTCCATGCTTTCCTATCCTGTGCAATCTTCAGTGCAGTTTTCTATGTCAAAGATGCCGCACTCAGGTCACTTTCCATCGCTCGTCTCCATGTTGTTTTTGGGTGCCCCTGTTTTCTCTTTCCCTCTGGTGTCCATGTGAGAGCTGTTTTGGCATCTATAACTAACTTAAATTTTTTTTAAATTGAAATAAGGACAAATTAAAAAATCACAAGCACTGTTAACAAGAGCTGGGAGGAAAAACCATTCACATAAATCAGAATGTCAAATAACAGACACCCTTGGCTTTTTGTTTTATAAACAGCTTAAAAATATACTTTATTTACAATCAAACTGAAAAAAAAAATTAATATACAACGGCTCAGCATCATGGCACAAGGGTAGTAACTCATAAGTGCTCCGTTCTACTTCTAACTCAGGCCTCAGTTTGAAGAATTTGAGCGCAGTGCACGAACTCTGTAGCACCTACGAGGATCCTGAAATATTCAGGGTAGATTTTAAACCCAAAATTTTGCCCGGGCAGTGCCATTTGGCTAATCTTCTATATTAATAAAAATGTTAATTTTCCGAGTTTGTTAACTAAAAACTCGAAAATTACTTAACTGATTGCTTTCAAATTTTCACAAAACGTTGCCTTTGACTCAAAGCATGATTTTTTGTCAGAAAATCGCACAAACCACAAACGATGTAGCTCCAGCAACTGTCAAATCATTATTTGTTTCGTTGCCGGCCCGGATTTGTTTTCTAGTTGATTGGCTATTTTTGACTGCTGAGCTCTTTTTTTGAACTTTGCTTGAGTGTTTAGTAGCCTAGCTGGTAACTATTCTGCCTATATGCGAGTGACCCGCGTTCGATTCCTTGCTAGGTAATATAATTTTTTTAGCCCTTACCTTAGCGGCTGGCACATTGTGGCTGCGATATCTACCCCTTTTTATTGTTTTGGTGTTTACAGCTAGCCTGCGACGTGATGCTCAATGGTCATGTCACGGGTAATCTTCGTTCGCCCTTGAGAGGGCCGTTGGCACGTTGTGTTGTGGTTTACAGCTAGGCTGCGATATCTGACCTAAACTCTTCAGTGTTCTGCAGTATAGTTGTAAGTATTCTACCCTTCACGCAGGTTACCGGTGTTCGATTCTCCGCTGGGTGATAATTGTTCTTTTTCCCTTAAAAGGGTGGTTGCCACGTTGTGTTGTGGTTTACAGCTAGACTGCGATATCTGCCTATCATTGTTTGATTCCCCGCTGGGTGATAATTGTTCTCTTACCCTTATAGGGTGGTTGCTACGTTGTGTTGTGGTTTACAGCTAGGCTGCGATATCTGCCTATCATGCAGGTGACTCGCGTTCAATTCCCCGCTAGGTGATATAATTTGTTAGGGGGGGGCCCTTAACTGGGCGGCTGGCACGTTGTGTTGTGGTGTATGACTAGGCTGCGATAGCTACACCTTTTTTTCGGTTTTGGGGTTTACAGCTAGCCTGCAATAGCGGCGACGTGATGCTCAATGTTCATGTCACGGGTAATCTTCGTTTGCTCTCGAGAGGGCCGTTGGTACGTTGTGTTGTGGTTTACAGTTAGGCTGCAATATCTGACCTAAACTCTTCAGTGTTCGGTAGTATAGTTGTAAGTATTCTACCCTTCACGCAGATGACCGGTGTTCGATTCCCCTCTGGGTGATAATTGTTCTTTCTCCCTTAATAGTGTGGTTGCCACGTTGTATTGTGGTTTACAGCTAGACTGCGATATCTGCGCCTTTTGTCAAAAGACACCCGATTTCAGTAAAGTCCCTGTTAGCCTCCCCGTGACGCTTCTTGGTCAAAAACTATTCCACGATGATAGAAACTGTTAACTAAGACGGCTTATAGTCCAGTTTAGTTTGGTTGGACACGGATGCCAAAATCAGTTTAAAATCTCACTTCGGAGAGGGAAAGATGACGTGTGCGGGGTATTTTTCTCTGCTATTTGTTAGTATAGTGTACTTTTTGTTGTGGGTTCCATCACTGGTTAGGTGATGAGGTTGTTTGTTTTTCTATGTTAGGGGTAAAATTAAACTAAACAGTCCGTGGTGACAGCATGCGGTGGTAACTCCTCTGGCTACACCGACCTACACATACTGTAGTGACAGTTTTTTGTTGTTGTTATTGTTGTGATGGTGGTGGTGGTAGTGGTAGCAGTAGTCTGGTACTGCATGTGGTAGCTGTTACACTGGCCACATTTACTTCTCACTACACATTAATGCTACCCATTTTGGTCTGGGTGGACACGGATGCCAAGCTCAATTTAGTTACAACATTTCGTCAGATGATGACTTTCTCATTCTTCGGAGAGGATGATATGATTAGTGGGGGGGGGGGGGGGGTGGGGGTTGATGCCAGACACTATTAACTGAGAGAGCTTAAAAGCAGTATTTTAAAGTTCTCATTTCTTTACTATTTTTTTTTAATAATTTCGACAGGGAAGATTTTTCAATCCTTCAGGGAGGGAGATATGACTGCGTCGATGGGAGAGGGGTGGGGGGGGGGGGTTATAACAGACACTGTTAACTGAGAGCTATTTTCTTTCTTTTCCATTTCACCATTCTAGGCCACAGCAAAGCGTGACCGGGTACAGCTAGTCTTTTCTATTTCTAACTGCCAAGGCATTTTTTATGTGCGCAACAATACACACAGGCGTCCGATCTTACTACCCAGAGACCACGGGAAATTACTAGAAGTCCAAGTGAATGAAATCACAGCCTTCACCGGGGCCTGAACCTGGGACCTCCAGCACTCAAGGCGGACATCATGCTTCGAGAGCACTCAGATTATCGCAAGTAAAAATGCCCTCTATTTAAAAATTGCATGACGCCCATCAGTTGCAAACTTTCTCATTAACGGAAGCCCAAGCAAAAGACATGCGGAATATTACTTACTAGGACGTTTAATAAGCAAAGTTCCATTGTCGTATTGTTGGAATCGATCACGATCTGTCAGTTGTGATAAACTTATATTATCTCTTAACCATTCTTGGAATGTTGCCTGTATTCCAGAACGAAGCACTAGGCTGCACATTAAAGTTGCAGACTGATTGCCAAAACTGTAAGTGCCTCCCATTTTGATTTCTGAAAAAAAGGAAAATTAACAAGTTCAATTTTTGTTTTAAGTAACCATTAAAAAATATGCAAAATCAAAAGAAATTTAATCTAAGGCAAACTTTGGAATATTAAACTATTGCCAAATGAATATGGCTAAAAAAAATACTAATAAACTACAAATATTAATGAAATTGCGCCTGTCTTGAGGGTGTGGGGGTGGGGGTGGGGGGGGTTTTTTTGTGTAGATAAATACATTATTAAAGAAATGTATCAGCAAGAAATTAAAATGGTGTTCCCCAGGATGATTTTTTTCAGGAATTTCTACAAATTCATGGTCTGTGTCTGGGGCTTCGGTATTGTGAACCTGCTTAATAATTCTAAAAAAAGCAGTTAAGACAACTATGCACAGATTATGATAATGGTATGAAGCGCCGATTGTTCAGGAAGCAACAGCAAACTACTGAATATGAAATTAATTAGTAAAACTAAACAGCCAAAAAAATGATGGTGTTGATTCCTTAAGTGGAGAAGGGAATTAGAGACAGCTAAAATGACGGAGGTACACAGGGTGAGAAACATTGTTGACACAGAAAAGGCTAACAAAGTACAAGCAGGTCAAACCTTTCGCTCCGGGATTGATTTTAAAAAAAATAGACCAAGAGCCTGTGGAAATTCCACAAAAAATCCTTTACAAGAAAAAAAACTATTTTAATCGGGTTAATAATGCACATTTTTAACAATGTATCTAGCTACATTTTTTAAAATGCCCCCAAGAAATATATAAAGATATGTAAAGGGAGAAATCAGTCAACACGAATAGAGTGAAGCATTAAAATTAATGGAATACATTCTCAGGGCCTAAAATAAGCACAAAAGAAAGACTAAAGAATGTTACTAATAAAAAACGAAGAGAGTAACAGGCAGGTTTTTGGCCAAACAGATCATTACTGACCAGATAGCCACATTATGTATACAGAGCAATGCATTGAATCAAAATCATTACTTTACATTGGATTCATAGACTTTGAAAAAGTTTATGACAACATTGATAGGGAATCTCTCTGGAAATTAATGGGGCACTATGAAATCCCACAGAAAATTATCAACTCAGTAAAGGCCACTTACAAAGACATGAAATGTCGAATTCTTCATGAGGGAAAGCTAACAGATACATTTGAAATAAAAACAGGTGTGCAACAGGGATGACTTTTGTCGCCTCTCCTATTTTTACTGGCTACAGACTGGATTATGAAGACAGTAACTGCTAAACCCAAGAATTGAATTCAGTGGACCCCTACAAAACAGCTTGATGATCTGGACTTTACTGATGATTTTTCTCTTCTGTCCCATTCATGGAATCAGATGCAAGATAAATTAAATTTACTAGATGCGAGATCACAACAGCTTGGTCTGAAAATCCATATAGGAAAAAAAAATATGAGAATAAATCAGGCAAATAATGTGGTTTCTCTTAATGGTACCCCGCTACAAGAGGTGCAGTCATACACCTATTTAGGCAGTGATGTAGATGGGGGAACTGATAGAGATGTTAAAATTTGCATAAAAAGCAAAGAGGAGTGCACGGGGGAATGTGTGGAAGTCAACATAAATTAAAAGAAATACTAAACTAAAAACTTTTTAATTCAAATGTCAAATCAGCACTGTTGTATGGAGTGGAAACATGGAGAGCAGCTAAAGCAGTTACTAATAGAGATATTCATTAACTGGTGCCTGTGCAGAATAGAGGGAATTAAATGGTATGATAGAATCACAAACGTAAAGTTTTGGGAGAGAACTAAGTTAGCTCCAGCGGACCAAGAGGTGAGGAAAAGACGCTGGTGTTGGAGAGACACTCATTAAGAAAACCAGAGAAACACTCAATGAGAAAACCAGAGAACAAAATAACTTGAATGTCATTGCATCGGGCAAAGAAATAGAGGAAGACTAAAAAAACACATGGAGAAGGAAGCTAGAGAGTGAAGTAAACAAGCCTGGGAGGACATAGGAAGAGCTGCATTCAATATTAAAGGACAGAATAACAAGGTGTGAGCTGGTTTAGGGCCAATGCACCCTTGGGGGATAGAAGGGCAGAAGAAGAAGAAAATATATATATATATACCAGGTCATTCATGACTCCCTGTGACCTTCACCACTGAGGCTACTGAACATTTTTCGCATCATAATAGCTTTTAAATGTTATTTTGTTCACATAGAAAGACCCCTAACTGCTATTTTGAGTAAAGTTTTAAAAAAAAAATGTAGGAAATTATAAGGAGGGGAAAAAACAGAGTAAGAAAAAACAAATAGTTTATGTCAGCTTCACAAAATCAATTACAACGAACTCACAAAGGATGCTGTGGTGATAGGCTTCAACAGTAAACAAAGACAACACTGCAAACATACAAAAACATACACTTACTATGAAATGACTACATCTGAATATATATTTTTTTAGTAAATACATTTATAGCCAGACCCCGTAAATGCTGCGCAGGCACAAACAGAACCAAGAGCATTTAACATTTCAAAAACAGGTCACTACAGAAATGCAGACACATAGGGGAACAGTGTCACAGCAGGAAGAAACTAGATTTTGGCCTCTCAGGACAGCAGGCCTAAGGGATGTCAGAGCATAAGCTCAGTTGTTGGATGAAGGGCAGAAAAACAAGAATCAGCATTTAGTGGTCAATATTATATGAACTACCTTTACTTCTCATAACATTTCTTGATACCCATTTTTTTGGCTGTGATGTCAGGTTAATGTGAAAAGTATGCCTCAATGGAGATTCCGACCTATGAGCTTACACGCAAGCTTGTTACCTACTGCACTACCATAGTTCATGCTTATGATGTATCTAATAAACAATGGATTGATCCGTAGTCATACAAATAAGTAGGAAGATAGAAGGACGCACTAAGCAACATAAAAAAACGAAGAATTCTATAGTAACCGTGCCGGGAATCGAACCTGTAACCAGAGTGCGGATCAATGCTTCTTTTTTTGTTTATCATATACAATTTTTCTATGGCCTCAAGCCCCCCCCCCCCCTTTCCTTTTCTTATTTATTACCTGATATTATAATAATAACCACAGACAATCAATATTAAAATAAAGCCAGGATGCAGCAATGCTGAACACGCATGATGGTGCACCAAGACGAGGGCTCACACTGGTCAAAACCTATCTACATTTCTTCCTGGTCATCCTAGAGACACAGGTTTCCAACCGACAGATTAGCCAACATAGAGTGTATCCATGTTTCCTTTAAAGTCGAACTGCATCAGCCTGACAGGCAGTGAACCAACAGTCTGTCAGACAAGCCAGATCTCTAAAATGGATATTCATGCATTACTCAAGCTCTGGAACAAGGCTAAACTCCAGAAGTGGGCCCCAAAAAAAAAAATTTACAGCAGGTGGATGCATAAGGGAAGTAAAAGAAGAAAACAACTATTCTGATACACTCTTTATCCATATCTTGTCAAAGCCATAGTACAGAAACGGACAAACAACCAGAACTTACAACAGGTGAATGCTAAAAGGAAGAAGATAAACAATATTTTGATACACTGTTTATCTATATATTGTCATAGCCAAAGTACAGAGGCGGACAAACAACTAGGATTTCCCAGTGGAGTTCACATCTGATGAAGAAGATCAAAATGATGACAACTTACCTGTTAGGGCAGTTAAGGAGATGGTGGTCTTATTTGTGTCACCATTGGCAGCTGTGTATGTGCAAATGTAGTCTCCAGCGTAGGAATCACTAAAGTTTTCAATCGTCAGGATACTATGGGAAGTATTGGTGGCATCAACTGTGCTATTTCTGAAACAGAGAGAAGTATTGGTGATGACAACTGTGTCATTTCTGAAAAGGAGAGAGGTATTCATCCTGTCAGCTGTGTCATTTCTGAAACAGAGAAAAGTATTGGTGGCACAACTGTGTCATTTCTGAAAAGAGAGAAGTATTGGTGGCATCAACTGTGTCATTTCTGAAACAGAGAGAAGTATTTGTCCTGTCAGCTGTGTCATTTCTGAAACAGAGAAGTATTTGTCCTGTCAGCTGTGTCATTTCTGAAACAGAGAGAAGTATTTCACCTGTCAGCTGTGTCATTTCTGAAACTGAGAGAAGTATTTATCCTGTCAGCTGTGTCATTTCTGAAACTGAGAAAAGTATTTATCCTGTCAGCTGTGTCATTTCTGAAACTGAGAGAAGTATTTGTAGCATTAACTGTGTCATTTCTGAAACTGAGAGAAGTTTTTGTGGCATCAACTGTGTCATTTCTGAAAAAGAGAGAAGTACTGGTGCCATCAACTGTGTAATTTCTGGAACAAAAAATATTCTCATATGCACTCTGTCCCCCATCTTCAGCAGTCAACATAGAGTTCTAATACTGGTACTAGCAGCATTCTGGTCTTGTTCCAGAACTGAGTTTTGTGTGCACATCCATTTTACAGATCTGGCTTCTCTTGTATGACTGTTGGTTCTTTTCATTTCAGGTAGATGCACTCCGACTTTTGAGGAAACACTATGAATTAGTCACTTTTTACAACATGATTGCTTGGTAGCTGTGGATCCATTCCTTTTTTGTCCCAAAAGGGGGCTCCAGAACCCACAAGGGACAAAAAATCAAAGAAAAATTAAGTTTCAGAATAAATATTGTTCAACAAACAGATGTATGTGAACCTACATTATAAGATTCGATCCTGCTGGATGACTCCATGTGTAGTCGAGGGTTAATGGTGCCTGGTCACTCACAAAACAATCTAGAATCTGCCTGTTTCCTCGTCCTACCAGCAGGTTTGGTCCCACAGGGTTTATCTGTATACCTGAAAATATAAAACAATGCTTGTTTTGACATACTGGTATCTTCTGGATAAAAATATTTAACCCTTAGCCTTTCCTTGAAACTGGTCTAGGAGGCAAGCTCTGACTGGTGGACAAATTCTTCTGATTGGGCAGCTTTTGCAGCATACTTTGGCATGAACGATTTGGTATTACCTTTATTCAGCAGTAAACAAGGCAGACTGGGAGATTGTTCATGTGCATGGGTAACACATGGTCTCTAAAATCTGAGCAGGCTTTGTGATAGGGAAAAGGGAAACTTTATCATCAGCCTTAATTGGTCTAGGAAACAGACTGAGAGGCGGCAACTGCGTTATATTAAAGTCTGTATAAAATGACACAGAAGAGGGTGCCATGGGCCATCTCTTGTGGTGGGGAACATTTTCACATTTGACTGATCAGCTATCATGTGCCTCAAGCTGGGCAGTCCCATGTTAATAAGGTCTTGATCTGCCAGTCTGTGTGCTTCAATGGATATCTGGAGCTAAAACAAAATCCAAAACACACAGCAACAGATGAAATGGTTTAGTCATCTGACAAGATTGCCCTGGTACCAACTACCACCAAGAGCCATTTCTTCTTCTTCTGCCTTTCAAGCGCCCAATGGAGCATAGGCCCTCAACCAACTCACGCCAAGTCGTTCTATCTTTTGCTATCACAGGCAACTCTCCCCAGCTTTCTAACTTCATTCTCCAGCTCACTTCTCCATTTTTTTTTAACCTTCCTTTATTCCTATGTCCATGTGGGTTCCAGTGCAAAAACATTCTAGTTATATTGTTCTCCCAGTTTTCTCAATGTGCCAGCGTCTTTTCTTTACCTCTTGGTCAACTGGAGTTTGTTTAGTTCTCTCCCAAAAGCTCTACATTCATGATTCTATCATACCATTCTATTCCCTCCATTCTGTACCAGTTAATAAATGCCTGTAGTTTATTAGTAATTGCCTTATTTGTTCTACATGTTTCCGCTCCATACAAAAGCACTATTTTGACATTAGAATTTAAAAAAAATTAAGTTTAGTATTTCTTTTAATTTTTTTTTTACCTCCACTAATTTCCTAATTCAATGAAAGCTCCTCTTACCAAGAGCCACAGTGTAGAAATCTAGTAAGCAAATGGCAAGAGGACTCAGCATATTGTATGAGCCCAACATTGTACAGCCTGATAAACATTCTATGGGTAATGTCATCATCATCATGCCAGATGCTTTTACTTCCCATGACATTATATGGTACTCATTATAAGCTGGGTCGAAATGGGAGCCTAGGTCAAGCTTTAAAACTCAAACTTAATGCAGAATCGAACCCATGACTCCTGAGCCAGCAGATGAGCATGTCAGCCAATGCACAGCTGTAGCTCCCGAAAACTTTATAATTCTTGTTAAAAATTAATCAACTGAACTGCAACTAAGAAGCATAACAGAGGTGGGAAGGGGGAATAATACATATACACAGACATTTGGCTGACCCTTGTATGAAAAAAGAAAACAGTTTCCCAGATGCTGGGGAGAAGTGTGAATAACAATAAAATATCCTGCCCAGAGAGTCTGTCTTTGGGTGCAAACAAAAACTAGCATTCCTTCTTTCCAGAAAATAAGCATCAACCAACCAATCAATCAACAAGTGAAGACACCAGTCTACTAACCAATCAATGAACCAACCAATCAAACATTGCAGACTTTAACTGTGACCTCTCCTTCTTGACCAGAGTGCAGTCAGAATTCAAACAGAAAAGTGTACTATAAAACCCCCAAAACCAGACTAAAGTCTGTAATTCACAAGAAACCACATAAACAATCAACCTTTAAACAACAACATTGACAGTTATAATATAAATCTAAATCAAAAAGGTGCGCATAAACTATATAATAATTTGTAAATAAAAATAAATCATAAACTATCAACCCCTTAACAACTAGAATTACCTTGCAGAAAGAGGAAGGATAAACTACAAATCTGCAAACTAGAATTACCTTTGTTGACCAAAGGAAGAAAACCCTAAATCTCTACCTGACAATGAGAATGTCCTTCAAACCCCATAACTAGACCAAAGTGTAATTTACAAGAAAGGGTGTAAACAATAACCTATTAAACAACTTCACTGACAGTTATAAATCAAAAAGATATGTATAAACCTTTGCTGATGAAAAGGAAGAAAAATTTAAATCCCTTATCTAACAACAAGAGAATGACCTTTAACTTTTTGAATCCCAAAGAACGTATCCTGCATTCATAGGTTCCTACCTAGAAGCCCAGTGAATACAAGATGAGCCAATTGTGTGTCTCTCTTGACTATGCCTTGAGCCTCTAATGCTAAACCCCCTGGGACTTAAAGAGTTAAGCCCCATAACTAGACCAAAGTTTGTAATTCACAAAAAAGGATATAAACAATAAACTTTTAAACAACTTCCTTGACAGTTATAAATCAAAAATATATTATAAAACTTTGTTGATCACAAGGAAGAAAACTTTAAATCCCTTATCTTACAACAAGAGAATGACCTTTAAGCTTCATAACTAGACCAAAGTTTATCATTCCCAAAAAAAGATAATAAACAATAAACTTTTAAACAACAACACTGACTACAGTATATGCATAAACTATAACAAAATATATAAATACAAAAAAGGACATCATAAACTATAAACTCTATAAATTTCTATAAACTAGCAAGAATGACCTTTGTAGATGAAGATAAAGGACACAAACATGATAATATATAAAATTAAAAATCTAACTAGAATGACCATTGTAGTTAAAAGGAAGGACATTTCAAATCAACCTCAGAACTAGTATGGGATCTCCTTGCAATAACGGTCACTTGTTGGACGGTGGCGACCACTTAGTCGGAGTTCAGTCCCCTGGCTGCAGTGCAATTACGAAGTGGAAAAGAGGGAACGACACAAATGACATAATTAGGGTAGGGTTAGGGTTTGGGTTAGGGTTAGGCTAATGTGAGTCGCAGCACGTGGTCTAGACGCCAAGTTGAACTCACTGTGTTTTGTGATTCGTGCCGTGTCCACTCCGTAATTGCACTGCAGCCAGGAGACTGAACTCTGACTAAGCGGCTGTCGCCGTCCAAGTAGTGACCGTTATTGTAAGGAGAACCCTAGTATGACCTGTGTAACTTAAAAGAGTGGACACATAAACCCTCTATCAACTACTCGACGGACAGCCTAAACTGTTGTTCATCCAATACAAGTGATGAGGACCACTTTTTCTTTTCATCTTTCATACTGAATACTGTCATGAAACTTTAAATGACTGTCTGCGAGTCCAGAGGTGTTGTATAAATAATAAGAGTAATATGGGCCATGAAGATATAGAACTCCCAAATGTCAGGGTTTATTATATCAAAGGCTTTATGTGTGTGGCTTTAAGCATAAATTCTAAACACTATAAATACTATATCAAATAATTAGGTAGACGTTTGTTTGTAATTGTAATTAAAGACTAAAAAGACTCCACTACTCCAACTTCAACTAGGCTGAATCATAGAACAACCTAAAACCGGCACCAGTAAAACAGTGAAAAGCATGAACTGTGGTCTTACAAACAGTCCCATGATCAATATAATTACACTTTATAGATTTCTGCAGGTGACTCGGTATAATTTCCCTCACTTTGCCGACGGCAACGCCTTAAAAATAAAATAAGTTCTTCCATGACAATTCAAATTTAATTTACGTCGTCTTGTCGATCTATCACCTAACTAACTCATACACATTTTCACTGAGTTGAAAAATATTAATTAAAATCAACCTACTTGCAGAATAAACCGTGAAAATACATGTCAGAAGAAGGAGAAGAACAAATCCTCTATTATTCATATTGGGTCTGGCCATGTCTGTTGTCAGGCAGCTTGTGGTTTGTTTGTCGTTGTCAGCTGACTACCCGGCGTCCCACTTCCGCTGTAAGCTGTTTCATACTTCCGCTAGAATCTGGCTTGCTGAGAATCGCTGAGAAAGGTGGAGCCAGGATAGTTTTGAGCAGAGTGGCAAGCTTTACGGGGAAGGTCACCAGTCAAAATGGACGCTAGGAGCCGTGGGAACTTTTTTCCCTCTTCCTGACAATAATGAGAATGAATCCAGCGAATATTAGTATGAGTCATCATCATCATAAACCACTTCTGCCGTTAGGCGCCGTGGGGACTGTCATCACACTCGGAAGGTACTGCAGGGATCAAATTCCCGCGGCGGTAGACACAGAAGTAAGGGAACTGATAGATCAGCATTCAGACCCAGAAGATACCATCATCTACACAGATGGATCTGTGAAGCGCGGATCAAGGTCAGCATGGGCATACACAGCGCAAAGAAAGGGGAAAACAATACATGAGGACAGCGGCGCTTACCAGACAACCACGTCAAGCATGACAATGGAAATAGCCGCTGCTTCTAGAGCTTTAGCATGGGTATCCGAGCAAACCGCCACACAGGTAGTAATTGTCTCAGACTCAATGAATATGCTTCAGAAGATAGCAACAGGCAGCATGCGCTCTGAATGGATAGAAAGAATCAGGAAATCGCACTTAACCTCCGTAACCTGGATCTACACACCGGGTCATGCGGGCGTGAAGGGAAATGAACGAGCAGACCAACTGGCAAGCACTGCACTAATGATTGCAGGAAAAAGTATGGACAGAGCAGACATAGTCAACGCTGTACGAACCGGGCTAGTGGAGAATGAGGAATCCCTGACACTAACACGATTGCGTGACATGGGAGTTAAACATGGTGATGCACGTCTTTGCCGTCTTCGAGGCCGAGAAAGGAGACAATATAACCAGCTTCTCATGGGGACAATTAGTAGAAGTGCTTTGGAGTGGCTGCTGCTTCGGAGAACTGAGCACGCATGGGTATGCCCAATGTGCAGTGACGTTAATTGTGATAACAGAACATAAAATAACATCTTAGTAGGGAGTCGGCAGTACGAAACCCAAGTTCAAGGTGTCTCCTTCGTGCCAAAGAACTGCATGGCTGTTGGGTGAACAGTCGTTAACGAGGGCAGGCAGGTCGTTGTAGGGGTGACGCCTGCTGGTGGATGTAATGTCCTAAGTCCCTTCCCCAGCTAATAATGAGGGTACTGCTGGGGTGACCGTTTATTAACCCTCATATAATTCTTCCGGTCAAAATGGACGCTAGGTACGGCCACCTTTTATTTTTTTTTTTTTTATTTTTTTTTTAAAGCCGTGGCAAATATTTTTCCAGACGGTAGCCGTTGCATTTTTGCTCCATTTGTAGACTGGAAGGATGTAGTTTCGTCGCCCAGCTTCTGAGTTGAGTGCATGGCGTGACACTGTGAGCTGCGTTTGTTTTTCGTTGGCACAGGAGCGGAGCATGTGTGGGGTGACCCGTTTGCTATGAAGCTGAAACTAGGATTACCAGATTACCAGAATTTGCGATCCAGTGCACGTTGGCTGCCACTGGCTATTGTAATGCCGTGAAGGCGTAGAGTGTCTTTATTGTTGTCGATCCATGTTTTCCGCGGCCATACTCTTGCTCTTGTAGTTGATCTTCTAAGATGTAGTGCTTGTGATGGTATTTGATCTTGCTGCATTCTAACGAGATGGCCAAACCACTTGATCTGCTGTTTCTCGATGAATCTAGTGCAAGGTGTCGTTCCCACAATTTGCCTGATAGTTTCATTATTCACTCGATCTCGTATGGTTAGGTTGGTTGCTTTTCTCAGGCACCTTATCTAGCAGGTGGTAATTTTGCGTATATGGGCTTTAGATAGTGTCCATGTTTAGCACTGGTAGCTTAAAGTTGGAATAAATATGGTAATAATAATATGTCTCTTTGCACTCATAGTTATGCTTGGATGTCTTAATAATGGTGACAATTGGTATATAAGTGCACTTGCTTTCTGACATCTGGTTTCTATTTCTCTGTTAATTCTACCATCTTATGTGATCATACTTCCTAGATATTTAAACTCCCTAACTTGATTCAGGGCAGAACCATTCAGCTGTATGTGTAGTGGGGCAGGGGTTCTACTAACTTGCATTGTTTCGGTTTTGTTTACATTGATCTTCATGTTGTATTTACTACATGATGAGTTTAACCTGTTAATGTCTGACTATTTCCTCTTCCTCTATTCTACCTCGGCCAATTTTTGCATTAAAATCCCCCATGATGATTAAACTATCTCTTTTTTCTACCCTTTCTAATGTCTCTTCTAAACTGTCATAAAAGTTTTGAATTTCATCTTCCTCTGATGCAGATGTTGGGGCATAGACTTAAATAATTGTGATGTTTCTTTTCCTTGACTTGAGTCTGACAGTTAGAATTCGGTCGCTGATCGGA